AGTGGCAAACCCGATGGTATGAAAGATGATGAATGGAATAGGCTTAATCGAAAAGCCGTTGGTGTTATCCGTCAATGGATCGATGACAGTGTATTTCATCATGTTGCTACTGAAACTTCGGCACATGATTTATAGAAAAAATTAAAGAGTGTTTATGATAGAAAATCAGCCACAAATAAAGCCTTTCTATTTCGTAAGTTGGTTAATTTAAAATATACAGATGACAGCCTCATTCCAGAACATTTGAATGAAATAAAAAGTATTGTTAACCAACTTGCTTATATGAAAATTATTTTTGATGATGAGTTACAGGCTTTGATGCTACTTAGTTATTTGCCCGAAAGTTTGGAGACTTTGGTTGTGACCGTTAGTAATTCAGCGCCCGATGGAGTTGTCACAATGGGCCAAGTCACTAGTAACCTGTTGAATAAAGAAAGTAGAAGAAAATCAGCGGGTTCCTCTCATTCAGAAGCATTCGTTGTGAGAGGCCGAAGCAAAATAAAGGGGATGAGTAAGACTCCTCATGATCGTGATCAAAGCCGTGACAAATCAAAAGATGGTTCTTTTTCAAAGAAAGACATTGAGTGCTATTACTGCCATGAGAAAGGGCACATGAAGCAAGATGCCGAAAGCTCAAGAACAAGGAGAAAATGTGTGACAAAAGTGTGGATAAGAAGTAAGAAGACACAACGGCAGTTACTACCGATGATCTCATGGTCGTTTGTGAAGATGATTGCATCAATTTTGTGGGCCAAGAGAGCAATTGGATGATTGATTCCGGTGCTTATTTTCATGTGACTTCTCGAGTTGATTTCTTCACTACCTACACCAAAGGAGATTATGGTTCTGTTCGAATGGGTAATGAAGGTTTGTCCAAGATTATCGGCATGGGTGATGTTTGCTTGGAAACAAATTTGGGCTGCAAGTTGTTGCTTAAAGATGTGAAGCATGTACCTGACATTCGCCTCAATTTGATCTCTATCGGGAAGCTAGATGATGAAAGCTTCAACAACAAATTTGGTAATGAAATATGGAAGCTCACAAAGGGTTCTTTGGTGGTGGCTAAGTGCAAGAAGACTCATACACTTTATTCGATATAAGGAAAAATTTGTAAAGGTGTTATCAGTGCACTTGAAGATGATACTTCTACTGAATTGTGGCACAAGCGACTTGCGCACATGAGTGAAAATGGGCTGCAAGTTTTGTTCAAGAAAGAGCTTCTACCCGATTTGGAAGGTACACATCTTAAAACTTGTGTTCATTGTTTGGCGGGTAAACAACATAGAGTTTCTTTTCATAAAAATGTTGCTTCTAGAAAAGAAAATGTTTTGGAATTGATTCATTCGGATGTTTGTGGTCCTTTGAAAGTTATAACACATAGTGGTGCACTTTATTTTGTTACTTTCATTGATGATTATTCAAGGAAAGTTTGGGCTTTTATACTAAAAACTAAAGATCAAGTTTTAGAAGTATTTAAGCATTTTCAGGCCATGGTTGAAAGAGAAACATGGCAGAAATTGAAGTGCATCTGATCAGACAATGGTGGTGAATACATTGGGCCATTTGATGAGTATTGTCACAGCCAAGGTATTCGGTACCAAAAGATAGTTAAGAAGACTCCTCAACAAAATGGCGTTGCCGAGAGGATGAACCGCACCATTGTGGAAAGAACAAGGTGTTTGCTTTCACAAGCTAAATTACCAAGATCTTTTTGGGGTGACGCAATGAAGACAGCAGTTGATGTGATCAATTTGTCTCATTCCTATCCTTTGAATGGTGATGTTCCAGAAAGAGTTTGGACCGGCAAAGATGTATCTTATGAGCACTTGAGAATGTTTGGTTGCCGAGCTTTTGTTCACATTCCAAAAGATGAGAGGTCCAAGCTTGATAGCAAGTCAAGACAATGTATTTTTCTTGGCTATGGGTGTGATGAATTCGGGTATAGATTGTAGGATCCGGTCGACAAGAAAATCATTCGAAGCCATGATGTTGTGTTCTTAAAGACCAAACAATTGAAGAGTTTGGCAAAGGTGATCAATCGGAGCCAAAAACTAGTGATCTCATTGACATGGATCCATCTCCTTCATCTTCGGTGGATGATGAAAATGGGGGAGATGTGCAGCCACCCATTGAAGATGTAGAGGGTGGTGCTAATTCTAATGAAATTGTGCCAGAAATTGAGGAAGAGCATCCAACTCAAGAATCGCCACCACAACTTGAGTTGAGAAAATCTACAAGGGACCGACAACCTTCAAAAAAGTATCTTCCTAATGAGTTTGTGTTGATTTCTGATCAAGGGGAGACCGAGAGCTACCAAGAAGCAATTGAGCATGCAAAGAAAGGTGATTGGAAAAAGGCCATGGAAGAGGAGATGTATTCCTTACTTGAAAATTACACTTATGATTTAGTGAAGTTGCCTAATGGAATAAAATTTTGAAAAATAAGTTGGTTTTCAAATTGAAGAATGATGGCAAGAATCTAAGGTACAAAGCACGTCTTGTTGTGAAAAGCTTTGGGCAAAAGAAATGTATTGATTTTGATGAAATTTTCTAACCAGTTGTGAAGATGTCTTCTATTCGGGTTGTACTTGGCATGGCTGCAAGTATGAACCTTGACGTTGAGCAACTTGATGTGAAGACCGCATTTCTTCATGGTGATCTTGAAGAAGAAATTTACATGGAGCAATCGGAAGGTTTTGTAGAGAAAGGGAAAGAGAAATTTGTTTGCAAATTGAAGAAAAGTTTGTATGGCCTCAAGCAAGCCCCGCGGCAATGGTACAAAAAATTTGACTCTTTCATGATGAATAATGGTTTTTCTAAAACCACTTCGGACCATTGTGTGTTTGTGAAAAACTTCCCGAATGGCAAATTTATTATTCTTTTGCTTTATGTTGATGACATGTTAATTGTGGTTCAAGATTCTACCATGATTAACATGTTGAAATTGGAGTTGAACAAGTCTTTTGCAATGAAAGATTTGGGATCGGCAAAACAAATACTTGGTATGAAAATTATTCGTGATCGCAAAGAGGGGCTGATTTGGTTGTCTCAGGAAAGCTATATTGAGAAAGTTCTTGAGAGGTTCAACATGGATAAAGCAAAGCCGGTTGGTTGTCCACTTGCAGGTCACTTCAAGCTTAGTTCGAATCAATGTCCGACAAGTGAGAAAGACGAGGAAGAGATGTTGAAAATTCCTTATGCTTCAGCAGTTGGTTCTTTGATGTACGCCATGGTTCGTACAAGGCCGGATGTTGCTCACGCCGTTGGTGTGGTGAGTCGTTTTCACTCTAATCCGGGTAAAGAACATTGGGCAGCGGTAAAATGGATTCTAAGGTATCTTCGAGGGACTTCGAAGGTATGTTTGTGTTTTGGGGATGGTAAGCCGATGCTTGATGGGTTCACAGATTCTGACATGGCTGGTGATGTTGATTCTAGGAAATCTACTTCGGGGTATTTGATGACTTTTGCAGGGGGAGTTGTGGCATGGCAATCTAAATTACAAAAAATGTGTTGCTCTCTCAACTACCGAAGCTGAATTTATTGCTATTACAGAAGCTTGCAAAGAAGAGTTATGGTTGAAGAAATTTTTGCAAGAGTTGGGTGTTTGAAGCAAGAAAAGTATGTGCTTTATTATGATAGTCAAAGTGCTATTCACTTGAGTAAAAATTCTACTCTTCATTCGAGATCAAAGCACATTGATGCAAGATACCATTGGATTCGTGATGTGTTAGATTCGAAACTGTTGTAACTCGAAAAGGTTTACACAGATGATAATATTTCGGATATGTTGACTAAGACTTTGTCGAGGGACAAACATTTAAAGTGTCGAACTTTGACGGGTGTGGTTGATCTCTCCATCTAAGTCGGTAGGGGGAGAATTGTTGGGTATACCTCCTTATTGGAGTATGGGACCCAATTGGTTTATTAAAAGAGTTTTAATTTGGTTTGGTTTAGGTATAATATATTTTTATATATTATATCTAATTTTGTGGAGACCCAATTCAATTTGGTTGATAATAAACCCTAGATTCACAATATTTTAGGGTTTTGTCTTTGCTCATTCCGAGGTGTTGCGGCTGCTACAAGTTGTATTGATTAAAAAATCAATTTGGTGGGTTAACAAAGTTTATTCATATTTTTTTGGTGAGATAGTCCTTGTGGAAACATCAATTTAGTGCTCTGTTTCGGCTTGGGTAATCAATTCAGTGGCAGCAAATTGGTTAAGGTGTGGATCTTCGGCTAGTTGCTCTGTTTCGGCTGATTTGGGTTCGTTTTTGTGGGTCTTCTTCACTTTTGGTTTCGGAAGATTTTGGTTCATCTATTTGGTGAGGTCTTTCCTCTTTATTTATTTGTGATTATTTGGAATTCACCTAAGGGTGGTTTTGTGAGACCATTGGTGTCTCCTTTGTAATCGTTTGAAAACTCTTTGGTTGATAGTGGAATCGGATGTCGATCCCGTGGACGTACCTCATATTGAGGGAATCACGTAAAAATTCTTGTGTTGCTTTTGATTTAATTTTTCCGCATTAATTTTTATTCTCATTGATTGATTTACTTGTGGGGAATCACATATTTTCCCTAACAACAGATGTGAATGTGGGTATAATATTAGCTCATTTTCTTTTGAAATATCGGAAGTATTCTGAAAGAGTATTTCCTTCCTTTTTGCTTTGCAAACAGGGCAAATTTGGTTTCCATGTTTTACATTAGAAGTAATGCAGTAGAAGTGGAATGAGTGGGAGCATTTTGCAGTGAAAATGGCATGGTCGTGGCTTGGTTTCATGGTTGTTAGGCATATTGCACAAGTCCTCTACAATTAAAAAGAAATGCAAGTGAAAAGAAGATTTGTAGACAGAATCAGGAATAAAAAATGTTACAAATCAAAGAGCTTAAAAATAAAAATTAAAGGACATAATTAAACTAACTTTAACATAATCCTAATGCAATTCCACCTATACAATCAAAACTCCAGAACTCAGCTGCAGACATTTTAGATATTCATGAAGGCCAAATTGAAATGAACATCTATTTGTTCTCAATATCATCTCTCCGCAATTTTTCCAAAAGAAATGAGATATTTTGATGATGCTTTGATTAGCTCATCTAGTTTGTTCAAAAATAAAATTGAGACACTGAGGTGGTTAGAAAGAACAGTGACAGGCTTTCAAGTTTTCCCACTGACGGTAGGCAGAGATTTCCAGATGGCGAGCTCGGCAGAGTTTTTCGCTAGTCGTCGGTGGTCACCTAGGTTGGTAGTGTCAGCACCAGTCGATCTCAATGGTGGTCACTCTCACCTATTCTTCTTCGACTGGTTTCTCTCTCTCTCTCTCCTCTCCTCCATTTTCTTCTATTTCTCGCGTGTGGTGTCAATTGACCAATGTTGCAATTGGGCCAAACATTCAAAAATCACCTTTTTCAATTTCGGGCGATTCAGGGGGCTCGTTTTCGAGCTACGTAACAACGTCGTATTATAAAATACTCATAATTAGTAAATTATGTAAGAATCTCGAGATATACAAATATTATCACAAATGATTATGAATATTTTAAAATAAAATAATAATAATAATAATTTAGAACAAAGAGACGTGTCATTTTTTTAAAACGAAAAAGTACGATACTTAATAGATTGCACGTCCGACAACAAATTGTACGATTAAATATTGATTTAAATGCTAACACAAGCTATATATTAAAACTATCAATATTACATGGCATAATTTTTCTTTACAAATCTAAAAAAATATTTATAAAAATGGAATTAATTGTGAATACAATATGTACCATACAAAGTTTTTTTGTTTTTGAATACATGCTCAAAGATTGGATAACAATAAATAGTTGTGTGACGTCGAGGGAGAATAAATATTGAGTGTAAGCCAGTGATGATGGAATCACCCGCCGATAAATTGTTATAAATATTTTTGAAAGGAAAGTTTTTCTTCCAACTCTTTAAATGTCTTCCACATTTTTTGTCCGTTTAATATGATAAAAAAACGGAAGTCAATAAATAACAAATTTATCTTAAAATAATATTTTTTATTTTTAAAAAGTGAAAAGCATTTTCTAAAATATTATACCGTTACCCCATCACCATCATTATCATCATCCCACCTCTATCATATCACAAAAAACATTTTATGAAGGGAAAAGAAAAAATTCACAGAAAATGTTTGTCACCAAAATAAATGGAGGATTAGTACGTATCAGTAGTCTAGTGTACACCAAAAATTAGTGCCTTCCTTGCCAGCTCAAAAAAAAAAAAATAAAGATCATATATCACCGAAAGAAGAGAAAACAGACTCAGCACTGTCAATCCATATTATAAAAGTCATGTCATAGAATCATACAGTACGTTGCCACAAAAAGCAAAACAAGAGTTTGTAGCAACGTAGATAGCATGTGGGCCTCCCCTGTGGCTGTAACACTACCTGCAGCTGAACACAAACCATTTACCCATCAAATTAGTCTCAAACTTAAGCATATCCCACCATTACTAATGCTATATATAATTCAATTTTTTACTTAATTTTCACTCCAAGTTACAAAACAATGAGACTCGCATCGCATCAATAAATGCACATGAGGCCCATTCATTTGTATTTAGGGGAAAGGTTTTTATCTCCTCAAATAATCTTGTCTCAAATCACTTACAATCAGTGAATCATATGAAAATCTAAAAATGTAAAAATTTTCAGACATATCAATGATTGTGAGTGATTTAGGATAGAGGGACAGAGTTATTTAGGAACAGAGGATCCTTGGACTGTATTTAGGAGATAAGAAATAAGATTATATATACATTTTTCTCACATAAAAAACTCACTCCTATGATTTTTCTAATTTGGCATACCATCTTCATTTTATAATGCATTAGTTAAGGGCAAATTGGTCATTTTACACAAAAACAAAGCCAAACACTAACAAGGCTGCCAAAACACGCCTATGCTCCAAATTATTTTTTATTTTTTTGAGAAGCCAAAAAGTTGTGAATATATCAAATAAGCTAAAATTGTTAGCATTAATATTTTGTATTTTAGCCAATATTCTAAAGAAAATATTAATTACAACATCATTTTTTGCCGTATTTTCTCAATTGTAGATATATTTGTTAATGTGAGTTTCATTATCTTAAGTATAGGTGGAAAAAAAAAGAAAAAATAAATTATTTACAACATTGCTCATAGTATAATTTGTTCAACAATGCTATGTATCATGAAAAGTCTTTCATGAAAATGGTCATGAAAGATTTGTAACCTTTAGATTACACTTACAATAAAGCACCACACACTAATCAAGGCAATCTAAAGGTCACAAATTTTTCATGATCATTTTCATGAAAAAAATTTCATAATCCCTAACATTTCTCTAATTTGTTAGCCAACTCCAAAAGGGTGCATTGTTTGTTGGTTAAACTTACCACATTCTCTGGTAGAATTGACAGTGGTGGAGCAAATACAAAGCATTCCTTTGGTCTCGACATCAAACCCACAGGTCCCACCAGACTTTGAACACTGGTCACAGCCAGTATCAGGAACACTGTAGGACAACTTCATCCCATACAACCAATCCAACGGTCCAACACCTTTCAAAGCATCCACATTATACATACTAGTATAATGCGAACAGTCCAATATATCCATGGTCATATACTTGACAGTGTTATACCCCGTAAAACAACACGGAGGCGTAGTGTTGGACAAGAGGTGGAAGAGACGAAACGCAGTGCAGGCACCGTAGAGCTCGTCGCAGGAGTGGCCAGAGAAGTTGAAGCAGAGAGACTTGTAGTGGTTGAGCACAGGCGAGTCGATGGAGCAGTTGAGGAGAGCAAAGACGGTGTCGGGAGAGGGGGGAATGAGGGCGTACTGAATCTCCGTCATGACGAAGTCGTGGTGAGGCTGGAGGATGGAGCAAGTGGACATGGCGGGGTCGTAGATGATGAGAGATTTTTTGTCGTAGTCGATGGATTGGACTTTGTAGTTGCCGGAGGGGGTTTGGAAGAAGAGGTCGGTGGAGCAGTTGAGCATTTTCGAGAACTGTGGGGCGCCGCAACCGTCGTCGATGCCGAATGGGTACTTGATGCCCATGTTGCCGCAGAAGTTGCGGCAGAGGGAGAGACTGAGAGTAGGAAGGAGGAGGAGTAGCAGAGTTAAGTGGTGAAACTTCTTCGTCATTGTTTTTGGTTGGTGGTGGAAAGAGGATCTACTTTTGATCTTCTGATATGTTTTTCTTTTTTTTTTTTTTTGGAATGAAGGGGGAGTTTGCTTTTGGCGCGCCGTTTGATTCTTGGATTTTCAAACAAACAAAGCAAAATGTCCGCAATTTTCTCGCGTTTTACGGTGCTTTTTGACTGCTGGTGGGTTGGACAGGCTGGTGTGGGATCCAGATGTTGAAAAAGAGTAAAGTTAAAAACAGAAGTGGGCAGTGGGCACCACCATCCATCTGCTATTGGATCCTCTCTCTCATGACCGAATTCTCTATCCATTTTTATTTCCATTAAGAGCATCTCCAACCGTGAATCAAAAATTTTACCAAATTTGAATTAAAAAATGGTCATTTCCTAAATTTGATACTTCAGGCTCCAACGGTTCACCTTCACCAAATCTATCCCGGGACAACCGGGTGGTCGACCGGCCGGTTGACCGGTTAGGCAAAAAAAAATTTTTTTTTTTAACGGTTTGAACTTTTTTTTTGAACTGTTTGAATCTTTTACTGGTTGACCGGTTGGTCAACCGGCCGGGCAACCGGTTGGTCGACCGGTGTATCATTTTCAACGGTCAGTAACAGTGATTTGGTAAAATCTGTGTCTTGATCTCAGTTTGATGTCTTGTTTGCTGAATTCTCATTTTGGTATGACTTTGGTGCAACCGTTGGAGCATGAAAATGTGGGTTTTTCATCAAAATTTAAATATGATGCTGGGTTTGATTCACCGTTGGAGATGGTCTAAGAAAAGTTATATACAATTCTATTTTTTATTTTTTTTCCCTTATGTAAAGTATTTTAGGTTAGGGGTTGTTTGGGATATTCTAAATAAGTATACTTTTTAACTTTTTATGAAATATAAATTGAGTTGAAGTGATGTGATAGAGAGGTGATGTGACTTAAATAAGATGATGTGACTTAATGCCAAGTTTGGCAACCCAAAAATAATCTATCTTTTTATCTTTTTTCCATCACATCACCTCTTTACTTTTTTGCACATCTTTTCGTAAAAAGACAAAAAGTGCAGTTATTTAGGTCATCCCAAACAACCCCTAATAAGATAGTGACTTTTTGAATTTTTTTGAAGATGCCAAACTTGGCCTAACTTACGTGCATTAGATTAGGTCTTTACCGTCCGAATAAGCTTTTCGAAATCCAAGGTATGTATTATTGGTTTGGAGACTCAAATCTCCAGATTTCAATCGTCACCCACTAGACTAACAATCTTGTGATTTGTTTTTAGACTAACAATCTTATTTATTAAAATAAATAAGAGAGAGAAATAATATGAGTGTGATTAATTAGTTGATCATTGAACTAAAAAACTATAAGTCTCATTTTTTGATTTGAATAGTATTACCCTTAACTTAAAAGATGAATTGAAAAATGTAAAACCAAAATAAATATTAAAAAAATCACATTATTATCAAACAATAATCTTAAAAAAACAAAAGCAAGTAATAAATAACATATTAGAAACAACAAACAGCAGGGGATGTAGCTCAAACGGTAGAGCGCTCGCTTTGCATGCGAGAGGCACGGGGTTCGATACCCCGCATCTCCATTTTTGGCCGTTCGCTGATTTTCTGTGTTGTGTTACACTTTTGCGACATTGAACTCTCAAAATCAGCTGGCCAAAATTGCAGCTAACAACGATGTTGAAGTCAATTTTCCCGCGCAATATTTTTATTTTTACGCCGTACCTTGTTCATATCCACTCCTAATTTTTGTTTGCCTCACTCAGTAGAAACTAGGGTTTGCATCGAATCAGAGTATGGAAGCTCACCAGATCGCTCAGCTGCTGAGCCAAACCCTCAGCCCCGACGGCCACATCGTACATAGCGCCACCGACGCCCTCGACCGCCTCTCTCTCCTCCCCACTTTCCCTTTCTCTCTCCTCTCCATTTCTACCGGTAAACCGCCAACTTCTTCTATTTCATTGGATTGTATTGTATTGTATTGTATGTATACACATATTTGATACTGCTTTACTAATTTTCTTTGGATTTTTGATCTACTTGACCATCTCCAATATTTTCCTCAAATTTGAGTTCAAACTTTATTTTATGTGAATCCAAAACTCAGATTTAAGCATAATTTGAGTAAAGCCTTCGATAATGGTAGAGTGATCAATTTGATAGCCACAAAATAGCATTGAAAATTTTGAGTAAACATTTGAGTCTTGTTTTGTTAAAAATTCGAGTAAAACTCAATTTGGTATAAGTTTGTGTCAAGGAGAGGAAGAGTGTTTTGAGTGATTTTTACTCAAATTTAAATTTGATATATGTTTCAGTCAAGAATTGGAGATGCCCTTAGTTGCTACCTTTGAATTTGCATGATTTAAAAAATAAGAAATAAAAAATTCGCTTGTTGAAATTCGAGTCATTAACCAGTTTATTATATACAGGAAGTGATGATCCAGGTCAGAGAATTGCTGCTGCTACATACCTAAAGAACTTCACCAGGCGAAACATACCGTCTTCAAAAGTCAGCAAGGAGTTCAGAGATGCACTTTTGCGTGCTTTGCTTCAAGTGGATTCTGCAGTTCTGAAAGTTTTGGTTGAAGTGGTATGCGTGTCTGAGCATTATCTGTCTGCAACTACGAATTTTTTTTGCAATAATTTCATTTGTGTTTTGATAAAATTGCTGTAAGTATAAATTTGGTTGGTTTTCAGTTTCGGGTGATTGTTGCTGCTGAGTTTGTGAAGGAGAATTCATGGCCTGATCTTGTACCCGAACTGCGTGCAGTTGTTCAAAATAGTGACATGATTAATAGAAGTGGAAATTGTGAATGGAAGACCATTAATGCCTTAACGGTTCTTCAATCACTGATTAGACCATTTCAGGTATTTATAATTCGACTCATTATGATCATCTATTGGAGGAAGCATCGGCAATAGTTGGGGGAGAAACCAATGTATGACAATATTTTAGAAGTTTTTATATTTTTATTTTTGATACTTTTGATATAGTATTTTATTAGGAAGCTTGTAATTGTAATATGGGATATCCTAGGTTTCTTAATTTATTTTGTTTTTGTTTTCTTAATTTTAGGTTACTTGTTTTCCAAAAATTAGACTAGTTAGTTTCTCTTTTCGCGACAAGTCATCAAGTGACATCTGCATATTTTCTGGAGATTCTCAGTACCAAACAGAGAGCTTGGAAATTAATACCTACTTTTTTTCTCCTCCCTGGTACTGTACTTTCAGAATCCACTGTGCTTGGTGCCTCTTAAGTTATAATGTCTTTTGCAGTATTTCTTGAACCCGAAAGTTGCAAAGGAGCCCGTTCCCCCACAGCTGGAGCTTATTGCACAAGAAATTCTTGTACCTTTATTTGATGTGTTTCATCAGTGTGTTCAAAAGGTTAGATCTTCCTTCCAAATACATTGTTATGCTTTTGACATTTACTGCCAGGTTATCCATGTTTGAAGTGTCTCCTTTCAATGGATGTTGTGCTGCATGAAACAGGCTTTGACCTTCAGTGGTGAAGGAGAAGAGGAAATTGAAAAGCTCCTCCTTATTTTATGCAAGTGTATGTACTTTTCTGTAAGTATTTGTTCTTGTTCTGACTACGATTATGAATGGATTTAAGATTTTACTTTTAAGTTTGATTCTTCTAGAAATTTAATCAGCACAAAAATAGCTCGGTGAAATTTGAGCATAAAACTTGTCAGACTGCATCAGCAGTCTGTTTGAAGCTTCAGTTGCATGGACTTTTACCGACAAGTTCTATACTTGCATCTGTAGATTGAGCAAGATAATGGGATGCACTGGCTAGTGGCTATGATACCACATCAAGCCTCAGTTGTATATATATTTTTAAAACTTGTGAAAGATAAGAGATATATTGAAAATTCTTCATAAAGCAATGAGGCATGTTGGAATTGGTGGAAGGACGAATTCGTATACCTTGCTACTAAGGCTGCAAAGACCGGGGTTACAATTATTTACAGGAATGAATTGTCTCTAGTTGCAGACGGTACCTCATTGTATAAGAAATTACTTTTATGTGAACCATAACGTTAGCATATTTCTTATTGTAAACCATAACACTCTGCCTCATTGTTTTAATTATTTTCTACTATCTCTGCATTTGTCCGTTTTAAATTTTACCCTCAATTGTCTCACCATAACATCCATTCCATCATTTGCATATTGGCTACACCCATCCTTAATTGTTTCTTTTGTTACTAATGCTTCTTCTAGGAATACTTATTGGAGTCAGTTTTGTAGGTGAGGTCACATATGCCATCTGCTTTAGCTCCTCATCTTTCTTCATTTTGTCGGGACCTGTTTGGGATTCTAGATTCATTAAGTTTTGATGGTGCCATTACTTTGGAAGATGGACACTTGTTGAGGCTGAAGACTGGGAAGAGAAGTTTGCTCATTTTTTGTGCTTTAGTCACCCGACATAGAAAGTTATCCGACAAGTAATGCAGTAAAATATGTAGTGAGTTTGAGTTTGAGTTTGAGTTTGATAAGATATGCTTGATTTGCTGCTCATATTTTGTTGCATATTTTGTTCCCAGGCTGATGCCCAACATTATTAATTGTGTCTCAAAGATAGTCAAGCATAGCACAAATATCAGCGTAAGTTTTGTATGATTTCTTATACTCTAAAGAGGAGAAAGATGTACCATACATGTTTGTGATGTTTTTAATTTGAACACATTTAAAACTTGACAGCAGTTGTCATGAATTCTACTTACACCTATACGTTTGTTGGGTGCACTTTTTGTATGCCACGTCTATGTACACACAATAGTATGGTACTGTGCGGATTAGCACCAAACTTACTTTTGTAGCCTTCTCACACAAACTTGCATTTTTTCCTATTTCTTTGAACTTTTAAGCTTTTGGTGCCTTGATATGATTCTGATGATTCTCCATCTGTGTTTCATTTGCTTACATTGAGATTAGCCGTACTTGTAATTGTTCGTTTGCCTTTATTCTGTTTTGTTATACTCTTTATTTTTAAATTGTCTTCTAATATAAAAATAAATGTACAATGCAGAAGATGGATTTTCTATCTGAGAGAATAGTGTCATTAGCTTTTGATGTAATCTCACGTGTTCTAGAGACAGGCCCTGTGAGTTCTATTAACTTTTTTGTTTTCATGGTTTCTATCACTCCAGTGATTTGGGTTCTTGGCTCCTGCATGCATGATTTTATGGTAGCTCATAAAAACTTTACCAATGCTACTCTGCTATTTTGATTGTGTTTTTATTTATTTTATATTTTTTTATTGGTATAATTTGCAAGTTTTTTGATAATATATGGTAACAGGGATGGAGGCTAGTTTCACCCCACTTTTCGTCTTTACTGAACTCTGCAATCTTCCCAGCATTAGTAATGAATGAGAAGGTATGATATCTGACGTCGTCACTTGTGAATAGGTCTTGTCTAAGTTGTCTTGGAAGTATCTGGTCTTCCACCTTCACCTCTAAATGTGGTCTGCAATTAAAAAAAGAATCATTTGTTCATATAGTTGCACCAATCAGCATTCTTAGGCATTCAAACTTTGTTTTATGTATTTTATTGTCATTTTTTTTGTGCTTATAATTTTATATACTTCTGCAGGTTTTAAGGAGTTTGTCTTTGATGTCACATTTCGCACAGCACACTGTCGAAAATTAAGCACTTCTTTGATTTTCTATTTTGTTTGCAAGTAGGACACTACAGAGTGGGAAGAAGATCCAGAGGAGTACATGCGGAAAAATCTGCCATCAGAAATTGTACGAAAGTAAATCGTGATATATTAAGTAGTCTACTTTCCAGTTTTATTATATTGATTTTGATTTGTATTGCAGGAAGAAATTTCTGGATGGAAAGAGGATCTGTTCACAGCAAGAAAAAGTGCATTAAATTTACTTGGTGTTATATCAATGTCAAAGGTTGGTATTCCAAGAAAAAAGATGTCTCCTTCCATATTTCATTATATCTTAGTGTTTGTTGTTGTTTTTTAATGCTTGCAGGGGCCTCCAGTGGTGGGTTCTGGTTACAATTCTTCACTTTCATCGAAGCGTAAAAAAGGTGACAAGACCAAAGGGAAGGATCGCAGTTCGATGGGGGAGCTGTTAGTGCTTCCATTTTTGTCAAAGTTTCCTATCCCTTCAGACATTAATGCATGTGAAACTAGGATTCTGAATGAGTGAGTTCACATATATCCAGTAATTTAGGCCATGGTGGAAAATTGATGTGTGCCTTACAGTATATTTCATCACTTCATCAGTGTAAATGACTGTTTATGTAGCTTTGACAAAATTAGTTTTAAGGAAGTTGCTTACTGTCTGAGAGAGAGAATTAGGAACCTTGGATAAAGACATTTACATGTAACTTTTGTGGCACTTTAAACACATGGGTGAAAAAATATATTAGTATACGTTGTTCTGGAATCTAATCATTTCTTATTAAAAAGATTATTTCTATTATTTTAAATTTTGGTGCTTCTGAGGCAGTTTTGTTCATAAATGGCTTATTAAATAAATAAATGTCATTATGTTACGGAGTGTCAACCCTTATCCTTTTCTTCCTCATCATTATAAACCTCAGGGGTATACGCTACTCATTTCTCTCCTAAATTTGGTTTCCATATCAACTGTTGCAGGTACTATGGTGTTTTGATGGCATATGGAAGCCTTCAAGATGTAAGGAACTATTACCTTATTAATTTTGTTTATTTAGAGTCTAGGAATTGAGAGTTTACAAAGCTATCATTGCTTATGCAGTTTCTAAGCGAGCAAAGAGCTGAATACACAGCAACTCTTGTTCGTATGCGGGTCTTACCACTGTATACGATCTCCACATGTTTACCATATTTGATTGCCTCTGCGAACTGGGTGCTTGGGGAGCTTGCATCCTGTCTTCCTGAAGTGAGATTGTTTTTGTTCATGCTTATCTCCTTGTTTGCTGTTTTCGTACAAATGTAGTCTTTATAAAATTATTTACTTGCTGCTTCTGTATGTTTCATTTCATTTCTTTTCTTGAATGTTTCCATATATCCTCTAACCACCTGAATAGTTATTACAGCATGCACATTTAAACATGTCCTTAACAGGTTCATTTTTAATTATTCAGGAGATGAGTGCTGATATCTATTCTTCACTGGTGAAAGCATTGAGTATGCCAGATATGGGAGATATTTCTTGTTATCCTGTTCGGGTGTCTGCTGCAGGTGCAATTACCGAACTCGTCGAGGTTTGTATGTTTCCCAAATCACATATTTAATTTTTATAATTGGCCTGCAATCTAAGTTTGAGTTGTGATAAGATTTTTGGTCTATTTTTTGCAGAATGACTACTTGCCACCTGAATGGTTACCCCTTCTTCAAATTGTGGTTAGTCGGATTGCTGATGAAGGTGAAGAGACCTCCATTTTATTTCAGCTTCTTGGTACTTTGGTTGAGGCTGGAAATGAACATGTTTCCCTTCATATCCCATATATTATTTCGTCTTTGGTTGGTACAATCTCAAAGTGCATTCCTCCTAATCCAGAGCCATGGCCTCAAGTATGTGTTTATCTGCTAATAATCTTCATGCTAAAGTTTCTCTGTTGTTTCTCTATCTCTCTCTCTCTCTCCAAAAAAAACTTGTAATTATTTCAATCTTGTACATTCAATGGACTACTAAAACAATACCGTGACATGGCAAAATTTACTGTGGTTCACTATTTGGCTGAGCTTGTTTCAACCAACGTGGAGAAAGAAACCAGATTCAAGTAGTTCTTACAAACCATTGCATTTTTTTTAATCTCTTGTACTTCAGAAAGTTTCATGGATTGAATGCTGTAGAGAGTCAGTTGGTTAGTTTTGCACCACTGGATCCAACATCTAGTATGATCAAATGGTGGGTTGTAATCATAAATATGGTTTTTATTTGCATGTAGCCAAAGAATTGGCTAGTTGTGGTATACACACAAAAATGATATATTTTTCCTCTAGTATGTTTTGACACTAACCTTCTTTGGCTTCTAAAATGCTGCAATTCATGCTTCCTGACTTTATGCTGGTAAATGGAGAATATCAGAAATGGTTGCAATTTATAGAGTTGGTCATTTAACTCTGTGCGTAGTTAAGACATTTATAGTTTGTTGTGGTATACACACAAAAATGATATATTTTTCCTCTAGTATGTTTTGACACTAACCTTCTTTGGCTTCTAAAATGCTGCAATTCATGCTTCCCGACTTTATGTTGGTAAATGGAGAATATCAGAAATGGTTGCAATTTATAGAGTTGGTCATTTAACTCTGTGCGTATTTTTGTCCTTCTTCCTGATAGTTAAGACATTTATAGTTTTCTCTTAACCGTGCTTCTATAAATAATGAATTTGAGCAATGAACTGACACTGGTTCACAATAGATGGTTGAACAGGGCTTTGCAGCATTAGCAGTAATGGCTCAATGTTGGGAAGACTCTATGCCTGAAGAAGATGACCACAACGAATCAAGTGAAGTGTGGGTGTCTGGTCGGGCTACCATTGCTAGAGCTTTGTCTAATCTTCTACAACAGGGTTGGCTTAGACCTGCACAGCAAATGGTTAGTATATAAATGTAGTTAATTGTAGTCTTTGTGAACATGGCTATACAAGATTTTAATAATATTTTCCTTGGTCTTAGTGTATATCTGTACCTGTGAAATTATACATGTTTTTAGGCTCTTTCAAGAATAATCACTGCAGTTAATGAAAATTCAATAAATCACTTGCTTTCTCACCATAGCAAGTTACATGCTCAACAATTTCTTTTTAAGTATGCCTGTCAGACAAGAAATAAAGAGTGTAAGCCGTCTGAATTTTCTAGCATTGTAAAATAAAATGTAGCTTCCAGCTCTTGCTATTACTTTTTCTCATGACTATATTGGAAATTAATTGTTTCTCTAAACTTGCTCAAGTAATCTAAATTGTGCCAGCAGTTAAGCTCTCTGAAATTTTATGGTTCTTAGATTTTCAATTTTCATTTCACCTTTCAGGTTTTGGAACATGTTTATTTTTTGGTGCTGTGTTTTTCACTAGAGTGCAATCGTTATAGGTTTTATTAGGTATTTTGTTTTTGAATTTCAATACTACAAGAGTGAATGGTATCAAGGCCAAATTAACAAAGCTTATGTACCGTGTTATATCCAGTCTTCTTTTTGAAAATACCCATGATGATCTCTTTAATGTCATACCGCATTTTCTCTAAATGCCCTTTTGATTTCCATCTTTGTACAAAGTAGAAGTGCTGCCCCAACCCCCTGTTTTCTGTATTCAGTTTTCATCTCCCTTTTTCTCTCTCCGTCTGTGTGTGCGCACATGCCAGTATGTGCACAAGTGTTTAGCCTGTTCATGAATGTGTGGGTAGCATTTTTTTGCTCAACCTTCTGCTGGATTTGTAGAGCCGATTTTTGCAGAATGGGGCCAAAAATGACAGGAACCTTGTCTTGCCAGTTGTGGCTCTGTTTGGGGGAAGGGAAACTCTACTTTTTCTGCCTGAACCAGCCAAATCCAGAATTAACCACTATAGTCAAGAATCAACCTCAGAAACCTAGGAGACAAAAATTTTGGTGTTTAGTAAATTTGTTATTCATTTTTCCTAGTAAATTTCCATTTTCCCCCTTCACAAGGAAATCTTCATGCCCTTTTGCTGGGCTTAAATTATGTGCATTGCCACCTTTTTAGCCTCTACTTCATTTATGCCTTTTTCCCTGGAATGTATGGCCAGGAAATAGAGGCTGCTCCTTTTTTGCCCCCTCCATCGTGCATAGATGATTCATCCGCGTTGCTCAGATTCATCATGCAATCTGTTACTGAAGGAAATGAGGTTTTAAAGCTTAAAGTTTCAGAATTATTACTGGTTTGGGCTGATCTAATTGCAAACTGGAATGCTTGGGAAGAAACGGAGGATTTATCAATCTTCAATTGCATTAAGGACATTGTTAATCTACACCAAAAATTTATGCTACAAAATTTCATGATGGGGGAAATGCCACCTCCCCCAGCTCCACCCGTGCCACATCCAATTATAGAAGGGATTGCCACTTTTGTTAGTGAGGCCTTTTCACAGTATCCGTCTGCGACATGGAGGGCTTCCTCATGTGTACATTTACTATTACATGTCCCAAGTTACACATTTGAAGCAGAAGGTATTAAGCAGTCATTGGTGATTGCTTTCAGTCATTCTGCATTTTCTCGTTTCAGAGATATTAGAAACAAGCCTAGTTCACTTTGGAAACCTTTGTTGCTTGCTGTGTCATCTTGTTATTTGTGTTATCCTGATGTTGTGGAGAAAATTTTGGAGAAGGATGAACATGAAGGCTTTGCAGTCTGGGCATCTGCTGTTGGTTTAATCTCCTCCAGCACATTTGAACATGGTCTGTCATCAGAGTCTGAGATTAAGTTAAGCGGTTAGTATTTTGCCTTCTGGCTCTTATGGAACTTATATAAAATCCTCGTTTTTGTTTCCAGAATGGCCATTATATAGAGTGATCAATATAGCTTCTTGTCGGAAGTCATTTGTATATTATGTATGTAGACCATAATTGTCAAATCGAGATTCGTATCGTGAATCTGACCTTGTACCGAATCGCGAATCGAATCGAATCGAATCGTGAATTGTAAAGATTCGGTCACTTTTTTAAAATTACATAAAAATATATATTTACACATTTAGATGTTAAATATATCTTATGAATATGAAATATTTAGACTTAAATCAATGAAAATATTATTTTGAGTGATAATCACGTAGTTTAATAGGTAAGAAGTTAACAAAGATTCTTATGCAAGATCACTATCGTACTTTTTTTCTTTTTAGATATTTCTTATCAATCATTCTTAATAAAGATGATAACCAAATAGACAAATTATCAATTTCTAAAATAACAATAATTAACAACGATATTGATATTTGGACAATAAGCATACGTACTTTTCTAAGTAACAGTGAGTAAATAATAAGAAAGAATTATTTAGAATATTTTATTTTAAAACCTAAAACATTTTCAAAGGTATAACTGACCTCACACATGTAATATTCAATTATATTCAATTTAATAAAATAACAATAGATAATTCATAGTGTAACTTTAATCTTAAACATTTTTAGAAGATATATTATGATTTTTTAAAGGGAAAAAAAATGAGAAGAAAGGTTAAAAATATGTTGAGTCTGGCTGAATCTGATTGGATTCTATTAAAAACTTCATAATCACTAAAATAACAACAAATTATGTATATATGTTGGTTATTTTGGTATTAAACGCTATTAAAAGTTGTATTATGTCATTTTCACTAAAAACATGGAGAAAAAAATAGTCGAAAATATGCATGACACAATAATTTAAAAAATTACATGAATCATAAAAAGTGAATCGAATCGTGAATCGATTGTGAATCGTGCGATTCACTAGAGATTTACTTCCAAAATAGATTCACCTATAGATTTGTATCGATTTTTTAAAAAATTTGAATCGAATCGCGAATCGTAAGATTCTGATAAAAGAGAGATTCACCCATAGATTCGTATCGATTTTGCAAAAATCGCGAATCGAATCGCGAATTGTAATATTCTGATAACAAAGATGTAGCCTATGACCTTTGAAAATATTCATTTGACTAATTGACGGCGTGAGGAATGCTTGTTGCATGAATTTCAGTTATGACATTGGCAAAAGTGGTTGAGCGGCTGCTAACACTGGAAAATCAGAAAGCTGGTTTGTTACAAAAATGCTTTACTTCTCTGATGGAGGCATCTGTAAGCTTGAAAGAAGCTCAGGGAGAAGAGGACGATGATGAGGAGAGCAGAGATGATCAGGATGCAGGTGATGAAGACACTGAAGATGACGACAATGATGAGGTTTGGCTATTATAGTATATTGTTATGTTTAACTGTTTTATAAGGTTTGCACCAAATCTGGTCCAAGTCTCCCTAATTGTCATAATTAAAATGGAAATTTAAGGCTAAAACTTGAAATATTTGGTGGTCCGGCTTCTCATGCATTACCCTTTCTCTTCTTTTTTTCTTTTTTCTTTTTTGTTTGGTGTCATTGTAACTACACTCGTATGCATCAAGAGAATGGTGGTGACAGATTCCTTTTTCTTTCTTGGTCTTAGGACTCAGATGATGATGAACGTGAAGAAACTGAAGAAGAATTCCTGGATCGGTATGCCAAAGCAGCTATTGCCTTGGAAAATGGGACTGTTGTGGAAGAGGGGGATGTGGAAGATCAGGAGCAAGAGCTTGAATTGGGTAAGCCCGTTCATATTTTATCATGTGGTCTGTTGGAACTTGGATGGCTAAGAATGCAATTTTGATTTTCTTGAGATTAGCTGTTTAGTTTGTTGAAATAAATTAATAAACAGATGAAAGTATATTGAATTCTCTTATCATTTTCCAAAGTTCATTTGAGTATTATCAACAACTAGATGAGAGAAATTATTTTGGTCACAGAATCATCTAGTTAAATGTAATTACTAGCATCTTATTAGGTAGATTAACCATGGTTCAAACAACTTTTAAACATAACCAGCACAAACCAAAGGTATATTTAGTAATCTAGCACATCTAATCTAATCTAAGCCATCAGATTCTCGGACTTTTTGAACACTGCTAAAAACTGATGTATTTATTTATCAACTGCTCACACTTGATTAACAGATGCATAATGATTACTTATTGTCTAATGGACATCGTAAAGACAACTTTTTGCTAAATCTTTGGTTTCTACTGTTGTCGCAATGTGATTAATTAGGTGGTTTGGAAGAGGTTGATCAGGAGAGTGTCGTACTATCATTGATAAAGAGATACCACCAAGTTCTCCTACATGGACAATCATTGCCACCACAAGTCATCTCCAGTTTCCTGAACACCTTCCCTGAATGTAATTTTTACTTCCAGCAACATTGCTGATTGGGGGTTCATTGGGTGTGCTTCATGTTCTGTAAACATTTTTGTATGGAAGTATAAGAGTTCTTATTCCTCAACTTTTTAATTCAAAAAGACAAAAAATATACTTATTTAGGACACCCCAAATAACCTCTAAATAAATATATATTTTTTACTTGAAAAAATGTGTAAAAAAAATATAAGAGTGATTTTTAATTTTTTTTTTTCTGCTAAGAGAAGGAATTGTTGTATTAGTTATTTACTTGTTTTTGTAATTTAGACCCATTGGAGTCGCTATTTTTTTGGATTTTCTTTCTTGGCATCATTTATTCGTGTGCAAGGCCCTTACATTTTTGAAGTTGGACCACTACAAATAAAAATTACTCTCTCTGTCTCAAAATAATAGTTCTTTTTAGAGAATTTAATTTTTTTTGATAGTATAATATGGCACTTTAAAAATATTAATTTTTCAAAATTACTCTTTGATAATATATTTTTTTAGAAATATGAATTGTTGTGATTGTACTTTTGTAGTGTTAATGAATTTAAAATAAGGAGAAAATAGAAAATTTATATTATTTTAATTTTTGATTTTTGAAAGAGGATTAATATTATAAAATAATAAAAAATAGAATAAATAATTAATATTTTGAAACAGAGAGTAAATTTTTTGGTCAAGTACTCGGCACTGCCAGTTTTTTTTTTGGAAAAAGAAATGTGACCACATTTGTACTCCTTTTAATTGTCTTGAGCAAGAATTTAAAATGTGAAGAAACTTAAAGTGAGGGAGTATTATATAGAATTCCGATGAATATAGAAATAAAAATGACAAAGCACTACCAAACTCATGAAGTTTAATGCTAAAGGATTGGTTGTAATTTCAGAATATAGGTTAAAAGTTAAAAGTCAGTTTTAATTTATTTTGAGTTACATCACTTCTCATATAAAATAATAAATAAAAGTTAAAAAGTTATTTTTTAACTAATTTTTCAAAACATCTCTCAGAATGTTATCGCTGACTGTTAACTTCAATTTCTGAAATCTCCTCTAAAAGAGAATGCAACGTTTGTTATTTTTTGCAATTGTTATAGTTTTTTTTTTTAAGAAGGTACTTCAATTGTTAATTTATTATTGGTTAAAAATAAACTTGTAAAAATTTAATGGTATTATGGTTATTTGGTATATCTTAGCTTTTTTTGACCTTGTTAATGATTTTTTAGCACAAGCAAAATTTGACTAATTTAAATTTTTAAATTTTTATAATGAAAATAAGGCTTGCAGCAGTGCTAAATAAAGCAAATAAGGTTTAAGTGGGCCTTCAGGGCTAACCCGACCTGCATGGGCTAGTGGGCTTTATCTAGCATTTCTCAACGAGACATATGGTATGTATGCGAGGATATATATCGTAACCGAAGTGTGTTGAATTGGAGCTCTGAAACCCTAACCCTAGTTCGTGCCTCCATCGATCTGTAAAGATGCAGATCTTCGTGAAAACCCTAACTGGCAAGACCATAACCCTAGAGGTGGAATCATCGGACACCATCGACAATGTGAAGGCAAAGATCCAGGATAAGGAAGGCATACCTCCGGACCAGCAACGTCTCATCTTCGCCGGAAAGCAGCTCGAAGACGGCAGAACCCTAGCCGACTACAACATCCAGAAGGAGTCCACCCTCCATCTGGTCCTCCGCCTCCGAGGCGGCGCTAAGAAGCGCAAGAAGAAGACCTACACCAAGCCCAAGAAGATCAAGCACAAGAAGAAGAAGGTCAAGCTCGCCGTCTTGCAGTTCTACAAGGTCGATGACTCCGGCAAGGTCCAGAGGCTGAGGAAGGAGTGCCCTAACGCCGAGTGCGGTGCTGGAACGTTCATGGCCAATCACTTCGACCGTCACTACTGTGGCAAGTGTGGTCTCACCTACGTTTACCAGAAGGCTGGTGGTGATTGAAAGCTGGTGATGATGATATCGCGATCGCGGTAGTTTTTAAGATTCTCATCGTCAATTTAGGTTTTATTTTGACTTTAATGGAATGGATTTTATATGGTTTGATCGATTTTGAGTCTTATCCGAATGTTTGAATTCTGCTTTGCTTCAAGGTTAGGTTATGAGCTTAATCACAATCTTATAATTTTATCTGTTTTTGTAACAAATTATTTCTCGGTTTATTTTTGCAGTTATATACATGTTCTCTACCTCTATCTGTGTGATTTATTTTATATATATATATATATATGCATGTGCATGTGCAGGGTTATAGAGTTATATACGGCAGCTGTGTGAGTAACCACTTATAATTTTTGTTTAAACTTTGGACATGGCTGGTGATTAGAATGGATGTAGTTTTGTTATTCAAATGAATGGCAATTCTGTGAAGTTTTTGATACTTTCTAGGTTTAATATATCTTCTTTTTATGGGGTCCTGATTTTCTGAGAACTTAGAAATACCATTCCATCAGTTAGTAATTGAAAGAATCAAACCTGGTTATAGATTCATATCCATCATGAGAGAGACAATGCCATTGCCAAGATGAAAAGTCATCCAGCTCTTTGTAAGGATGAAGGCAGGTATCTTTGATTCTTTTCTTATGCAAATGTATGTCTAGTCTCTGATGAGCAAGACTGTTAGGATTAGTGGAAGATTGAGCTTGGCTCAATTAGAGGCATTAATCAACTGGTATTTGCCCTGCAGCTATGCTTGTTCAAAGTATAAAAATGTTCTCTACTATGTTAATGCGGAATGCCCAAAAGAGAGAGAGAGAGAGAGAGAAAGATGGTCCCAATCCAAGATTGTCTCTTTTTTACCTATAGATGAGTCTTATTTGTGATCATTCATTTTCTTGTGTAGAGTGTTTCATTTTCTTGTCTTTGGGGACTCATGTTGAGTGTTTGAATTAGTTGGTTACATTCTTTTGTTGGGTTTCTTTGGTAAACCTGGAATGGAAGAACCTTTCATTTATGAATCTCACCCAAGACGTCTCTCAAAGAAGCTCACTTGTATAATGATTTATGCTGTTGTGGTTTTAACACATTGCTTTTCAACCAATTCAATTTTTGATTTTGCTGATCTCTATTCATTTTTTTGATCAGATTTTGCTGATTTTGAGAATGTTTGTGATGGGAAATTGTGTGACAGAACCTCCATTTCATAATACACAATCATTTTCTTGGTCAGATTTTGTTGATTTTGAGAATGTTTGTGATGGGAAATTCTCCATTTCATAATACACTAGTCGTATTGTTGATGATGCATACTACAACAGAGGACGGGTGGGTGGAAGAATGTATGAGCTCCAAGTTCTTTTTATTCTGCAAATCTGTCAATAATAGAACAAGTCGAGTAACCCTTAATGGAGATTTCTAGGCAAAATGATGGAAAAGAAAGAAGATAGAAGAAATAAATACATAAAATTATAAAAATAGAAAAACAGAACAAAACAAAACAAATTTTGAGTTACCAGAAGTGTCACATTGTTTTTGTTTTCAAAACCTATTTGTGTGCTACTAAATTTGTTTTATATTTTTTTGGTTCTTTTAAACATAATTTTAATAAACAAAAATAAATGGTGTGTTTGATTTGTGTTTGTAGAGTAATTTTTGAGATAAAAAGTACGAAAATTTATTTGGTTAGTCTTTTTTCAGAAATGGTTTTGGAAAATTATTTTGGGAAGAGAGTTTTAAAAAAAATAATTGATTTGATATGTATGAGAGAAAGAGTGATTTTGAAAAGTAGGTAACCAAACAAAATTTTGAGATTTTTTTAAAAACAATTTGTTTGGTTTGACTACTCTTAAAAATTTGTTTGTAGAGAATTTTTTTCCAAAATTTTATCTAAAAAACAAACCAAACAAGGCTAAAATGTGCGGGTAGTGAATTCTCTTCCTTTTGTCAACTCCATATTTCTTCCTTTTAAGAATATATTTTAAAAATTATTTTTTTCAAATCCTATACAGTTAGATGTTTTTCCAGAACTAATTAGGCAGGCTTTCAACGAATGGCAAATTGCCTATAGTCGTCTTCCAGCTTATAGAATGTCCTTGGAAGTGGGATTTCTATGCGATTTTCAGAATAAAATTCCCTGTTTAAAAAGAGTTTTCTTTACTAAATAAGTTCCCTGCTTAAAAAGAGTTTTCTTTACTAAATGGTGGACTAAGGGGGCTTGATACCCCAATATATCAATGTCCAAATCTACAGCTTTGGAATTCTATGGATTTGAAAGTGGGATTTCCAATGCGATTTCCAAAATAAAGTTTCCCGTCCAATGCGATTTCCAGAATAAAGTTTTCCGTTTAAAAAGAGTTTTCTTTACCAAATGGTGGACTAAGGGGGGGTTGATACCCAAAATATTAATGTCCAAATCTACAGCTTTGGAATTCTATCGATTTGGAAGTGGGATTTCCAATGCGATTTTCAGAATAAAATTTCCGAGTTTTCTTTACCAAATGGTGAACTAAGGGGGGCTTGATACCCCTAAACAACAGCACGAAATATTATAGAAAATTCAGGCTCACACTAAGGCCTGTTGGGAGTCTGTTCCAAAATTACTCCCCACCACTCCAGTAATTCAAAATCTTTTTGTTCAAATTCAAACTGAATTAAGGCAAAAATATCCAGGATTATCAGAACAGAAATTAATTATCAAAAGTATGAATTTTATGAAAGAACAATTTCTGCAATCCCTATCTAGAGATGATGTCAGCATGTAGTCAGGCACTGGCAGTCAAGGTCCAGAAGAGCATCTAGATCTAGAGCTAGATGAAAATAAATTCGTGAATCCCAAGACCATGCCGACAACAAACCAAACATGGGCGATTGACCAGTCTCATTTCAGAAAAGATTAGCCAGGATAAAGACAGGAAAGGAAAAGGAAAAGAGGAATGACTCTTTGTCCTCCACTCAATTCACTTTACAGTAGCGTCGGCAGAAAACGACAAATTCAGAATATCTACTTTCAGCAAAAAGAGATGCTTTGTCAACCATCCAGCCTAAATCATACAGCTGTCCATTACAGGACAATGAAGATAAGGTGCTGAGTCATCCACAATCAGCAGAGGATATGGACGATCGACTCCATCCATCTAGGACACGTCACCTGTCCTCAACCTTGTCAATTCAATATTTCTCCTTTTAAAAAAATAATAATAAATGAGAAATTTAAATTTATATTGACTGGGGGTAGTGAATGGGGGCAAATAACTTGGAGAAGAATTTTGGAACAGAATACTCCCAGGATGGGAAGAGCAAAAGGAGCAACTTGCGTTAATAGAAAGATGAATAGTTTTTCTTTTAGTTTTTGTGCTCATTTCCAAAAATCTTTTGTACTTGTGACTATGAAATGAATCTAAATAATCTGATGGTGGTGTAAGTGTTCACAAAAGCATACAAAACTGAGTCCCCAGAATGCTGGTTAACCTTCCTGCTTGCAGATACCAGAAAAGATGGGACATGTTAAAAAAGAATTGTAAAACAGAAGCAGTGAGTAATATTCAATACAAAGCAAACCAACTGGAAAGGTGGACATAATAACAACCATGACAATGTACAAAATTCAGAGTATTAAAGCCATCAAGAAAACAAAACTCCACATGCTTTATAGATTCATGAAGTTTAAGCTAACAATTCATTACTAGCAAGCTTCTTTCTTCAGCAACCCAATCTGCAATCTGCACACATGAATTTTGGAATCAAGCAGACACAACGCTGTTTTTTTAATAGCTTCTCTCATTTTACCAAATCTGTCAAACCTGCGCTACAAAACATGAGAAAATTCCATATATACAGTTAACCAACAAGGGATTAAATTGTAAACAGGATGTTCCTAAGTTATAACTCCTCATCTGCGGTATAAACAATTAAATATGACCAACTCATCTCAATTGTGTGCCTTAACAAAAATTTATCACTCAAGTATATAAAACCTTTCTCATCTAAACACATCCCACCCTCCCCACCCTCTCCTCATTACTACGTGCTCTTCCCATTTCCCGTAATGACTGGCCACTGGCCACCAACCACTGCCACCTCCCTCACCCCACCCTCTCTCTACACAATCATGAAAAGTTGAACGTAGTCCCCTCCCTTCAATGGCATGCCCCTCTCCAACCGCTTTCGCCATATCCAAGTCTATCCTAGCAGACTCATTCAGCTGAAAAGATTTGATTCAGATTCAAAAACAATTGAACACGCTTGTATAATTACTAACATACATACATGCAGAGAAGACATAATTACCAACATTTACATAATAAATGCGAAGAGCCAATTACACACCTGCATAATTAAAAAATATAGCCATCAATTTAGTTGCTTTTTAATCAATATCTAAGTATATGATGCACAGACAATGTGAAGTATAATTGTGAGTTGTGGGAATGAAATAAAAGCCATTTGTTCATTTTCTTTCCTCCTCTGGATTGAAAAAAAAAATCTAAACATCTTGAATTGGACAATAGAAATATATATCATTATCCTGTAACGGTTGGGAATGGTGGACATATTTGTAGCATAGAATTATTATCCTGTACACTCACTATCTTTGAAGAACTGAGTGAAAGTGAACTGGATCAAGAAGCCCCAAATGGAAAAAAAAAACAAGCAACAAACAAACCATGAAACAAAAATTTGAGATGTGTGTAAAAAACAATTATATTATCAAGAGTTAAAAGAAATCAAACACACTGGCAATTAAAGCACCAAAATGAAATCTTAGTGTGTTGAATCAAGCATAAATAAAATTCCAATCAAAGATCCACCATACCTCACAAGAAGTTTGCAACATGTTGTTTTCATGAACAGGAACAGGGAGGGCATCATTCACTTCACATCTTTCTTCTTCAGCTTTGAATATTGCTCTGATAATGCTCGTGGGGCTTACAACACCAAATATTAATTCACATCATTTTTGCGTGAGCGATCTAAGAACTCACTCCTGCCCTGCCTTTTATACCAAAACCACTATACCCACCAATTAGCAACCTAAATACTTACATACATACATACATATATATATATATATATATATAGGCATATGATTGATTTTCATGAACAGGGAGGGCATCAATCACTTCACATCTTTCTTCTTCAGCTTTGAATATTGCTCTGATAATGCTCGTGGGGCTTACAACACCAAATATTAATTCACATCATTTTTGCGTGAGCGATCTAAGAACTCACTCCTGCCCTGCCTTTTATACCGAAACCACTATACCCACCAATTAGCAACCTAAATACATACATACATACATACATACATATATATAGGCATATGATTGATTTAGAGTCGAATTAGGATTCACAATTTTGATAAACAATATCAAAATTTTTGAGGGATTGTTTCGAATCAGATTCTCAGTCCTCTTTTTTCACTCGTACGTACCAAGCCGTATTGAACCTAAATCTCGAAAAACATCGAAACCCAGAAGAGATTATCAATACCAGAAACCTAAGAGCAGAGAATCAGAGGATCACTGCACGCAAAAATGATACAAATTAGATACTTGGAAGTGTGAAGCCACTGCCATAGCTATTGATTGATACGTACGAATTCATCTCCCTCTCTCTTGGTAGCTCGCGATAAACGGCACAAACCCTATTGTTTTCTTTTCTGCGTACACACAGAGAGAGACTAGGGGCAGGAAGATACCTACATAATTCGTATATATATATATATATATATCAATCTCACGTAGAGAGACACTAATTTGGTGGCTCTGAACTCATGTATAGATGTAGTCATACTAGTAATTATCATGCACGCTCGGAATTCCATGCTGGTGTGTGCACCCATGGATCTGGAATTTCCCGATACACATGCAAAAAAGAAATTTCAATATCTAGGGTAATTTTAGAAATTTTGTTAATAACTTTTACAGTCTTTAAAATTTCATCGTTTAAATGATGACGTGTGATTTATTGAATAATTTTTCTAATTGAGAATTGTAGGAAGTTAAATAATTATAAGAAAAGTAATAAATAAAATATAAATTATTATTAAATGATGGCACGGAATATAATAAATAAAAAATTTAAATTATTAATGTAGCTCTAATCAGATCTCACACTCATTTTTCTATATAGATACAGTCATACTAGCAATTATCATGTACGCTCGGAATTCCATGCTGGTGTGTGCACCCATGGATCTGGAATTTCACGATAGCTGTGTGTCCGGCCGATGTGAACACACATGCAGAAAAGAAATTTCAATATCTAGGGTAATTTTAGAAATTTTGTTAATAACTTTTACAGTCTTTAAAATTTCATCGTTTAAATGATGACGTATGATTTATTGAATAATTTTTTTAATTGAGAATTGTAGGGAGTTAAATAATTATAAGAAAAGTAATAAATAAAACATAAATTATTATTAAATGATGGCACGGAAAAGTAATATATTGGACTTGTTAGAAATTTTTTTATACCCATTAGTATATAAAATTAAGTATAAATTATATTATTCTCTCAAAAGTTTAGCAGGTATGTTATAATTTCATTTTTACCTATTTAAATTTTTAGGTCAATTGTCAATAGAATTACATAAAAATAGTTTATACAAAAATAAAGAAAGAGTCATTGACCCCACAATTGTCCATTAAAATACTTAAATGACGCGTTAATAAATCACGTCGAATAGGAAAATAGTGCAGGTAGTCTTTCACAAGTAAAGTTCGCACCTGGTGGGACACCTTCATTTGTGAAAGAAGATGGCGTATGACGTTGGCTGGTAACTCCTACACTCATTACATAAATAAAACGTTACCCTCCAATGAAGTCGTTTGCTGATTTGACACGAAATTGTCCCTCTTATAAATTTGGATGTTGACTAGATGGATACATGTGTGCAAGTGATTGAAACATGCCCTAAAACTAACCATCATAAGTTGGTAAAATAAAAGGAAGAAGAAAAATGTTTGGGAGCACTAATTAGTGCTCCCACTAATTAGGTGGCAGTGAGTCCCGTCATTAATGATGTGATGTTTTGGTCTTGAAGTTGTATTTTTTTTTACTTTTTTAATGCATTAGTGCTATTAGAGGTGATGTTTTTAGTGAGATGAATCATTGTTGTTACATAAATAAAACGTTACCCTCCAATGAAGTCGTTTGCTGATTTGACACGAAATTGTCCCTCTTATAAATTTTGATGTTGACTAGATGGATACATGTCTGCAAGTGAATTTTAGGCTTCATTTAAAAATTAGGTATTTTGATTAAAAAGTTAAAAAATTATTATATTATTTTTTTAATTGTTTTATATATTTTTTTATAAAAATTTTAAAAATTATTAAAATAATTTATTTCAAAACGAGACTTTAGGGGTTCGTTTGGTTTGTATTTCTGAAAAAATTTTGAGAAATTTTCTCTACAAATAAGTTTTTGAAAGTAATCAAACTAAACAAATTTTCCCAAAAAAATTTCTCAAAACTTGTAAACCAAACAAGTTTTTCAAACAAATCTCTCTCTCACACACATCAAATCAATCACTTTTTCCAAAACTCTCTCTCAAAATAATTTTCCAGAACAGCTTTTGAAAAAAACCAAACCAAACAACTTTTCGTACTTTTAATCTCTAAAACACATCTCTCAAACACAAACCAAACATACCCTAGATGTTTGCAAATGATGTAAATAGAAAAACTTATTTGATGAATATACTTAATTAAACCATATTATTTATAATTTTTTATCCTTTTTTTTTTCTTTTTCTATAAAACATTAAAAAAATATACTAAATAAACAAATCTCAAACAATTCCTTAACATAGTAACTTAGCTACAAGAAAATGGCCTCCCCACCAAAGTAGGCATGCGTTTCCAGAACAAATAGAGAGGATGTTTGGAAGGTTGTCAGCTACCCTTTTTTGATCATTTTTGGCAGTTGCCAAGAAGCCCAAAACAATCTTCCTCAACCGATTTCTGCAATGATCCAAGTAACTGTGTAACATTTTCATCTCATATATTTACTGCATTTGCGTTTGGTCGAAAATTTTAAGAATGAATTTATAAAGGAAAAATAAATAAATAAATAAAATATGCACAAAATACTTACATCTTACACCTTTTTTCTTTTAATTTCCAAATCTCTCTCCGAATCTTCCAACCAAACACAACGTCAAGAGGAAAAAATTATGGGTTCGTTTGGTTTGTATTTCTGAAAAAAATTTGGGAAATTTTCTCTATAAATAAGTTTTTAAAAGTAATCAAACCAAACAAATTTTCTCAAAAAAATTTCTCAAAACTTGTAAACCAAACAAATTTTTCAAACAAATCTCTCTCTCACACACATCAAATCAATCATTTTTTCCAAAACTCTCCCTCAAAATAATTTTCCAAAACATCTTTTGAAAAAAACCAAACCAAACAACTTTTTGTACTTTTTATATCTAAAACACATTTCTCAAACACAAACCAAACATACTCTATGTTATCCATATTGAGATTAGGCATGGATCTGTTCAGTTTGGTTTTAGACAAGCAAAAAATTAATATTCTATACATAAAAGTTCCAAGCAATTTATCCTAAGCATCCCATAATCATTTTTTGAAAAAAATCTTATTCAAATCATTTTCACCTTATAAAAACTGTAAGCAAAATAGCCCCAAACACTCCTGAACTCTCAGATAGAAAAATAGCATGTGCACCCCCTGTAAACTATGCGGAACAATTTGACAAACAAGTTTCCATATCAATTTTCATTTTCCCCCTTTCTTAAAACCCAAAAAAAAAAAAAATTGACACCAAACAAAAATAACAAATCATCTTGTTTTTCCACAATAATAAGAAAATTACAAGCTAGGAGAACAAAAGTAATAATAATAATAATAATAACAAATGTAATCATGCTCCTGAGAAAGTTCAGCCTGCTAAGCCTGAAATTTAAGGAAACAAACCAAAAAAGGAAAAGGGAAGAGAATTAGCAACAAAACAAGGATTCAATTTGCATAAATAAAAACCAAATGAACTGCTTATTTGGCATATGAAAAGCAGCAATTCACCTTGTTTGCAATGTTGTTTGATAGCCAGTCCAGTCCCTCATACAGCCCTTCTCCGGATGTGGCACATGTACTTTGTATGTACCTAAAAGATAGCATCCAACAATATGTTAAGATGACAAGAAGAGAACACATGAAGATGGGAAGAGAGGTATCTTCTAAATTACCAGTGGCGCTGTCGAAGAGAATGGAGGCCAAGCTTATCAGTGATTTCAGCAGCATTCATTGCATTCGGAAGATCTTGCTTGTTTGCAAAAACAAGCAGGACAGCATCTCTTAATTCATCCTGCAAGCAATTGGGAGCATTATATTATTATCATCAATAAATAAATATTCTCTGATACTGAAGCTTGTTGATTGAACATTGTGTACAATTCTTTCCAATCATAAGACAAATTAACATAAATAAAGATTTGCACCTCATTTAACATTCTGTGGAGCTCATCTCTTGCCTCAACTACACGGTCTCGGTCATTGCTATCAACCACAAAGATAAGCCCTTGTGTGTTTTGGAAGTAGTGCCTCCACAAAGGCCGGATCTGAAACCCAATCAAAAGAAGAGTTGCCATAGTAAGCACATTTCGATGCACACGAGTCTATGCTCCGTAGTTCCTACATGCCCAGTTGGCCCAATCCCAAAAGCATATAAAATACTACAGAACAAAAACATTTTGTGAAGTATTAAAGTTATTTTAGCTTAAATAATGTGATCTGTTTATTAAGAATGCAACTTCACCTCACAACATAATGTCCATATGCAAAACATTTTCAATTAGTGACATCTAAGTATTAACATAAAATAAATAATGCAAGTGGGCATTTCGACTAGAATGCCATTATATGTAATTCATAGACAACACATCTAAAATATATCTAATTCATGATGATAAAATGCCGATATAACAGTACACCATACACAAGTATTTTTAATAAAATCAATATTCATACTTATTTTACAACACACTGCACTGCACAAACTATAGGAAGAGAAGTTGACAAATGTTGAAAATGTGAAAAACAAAATAATGTAAGCCACAATGCAAATAGCCTTACCTCATGAAATAGAGGAAGACCAAAAGACAACGTTGCTCGTGTGAATATAGCTTATGATAAAGTTAAGTGATGATAGAGAGCATTCAATCAGCACTAGACCGTCAATAAGCACATCTATCTCACCACTTGCACCTTTCCCTCTTTGTGTTTCTTGTGTATATTGAACCGTGAAGGGTGGTACATTAGGAGCAAGCATCACTGTTGTTCATTATATCAGTCTGCCTATTCATTCTGCCCCACCCTCATGACAATATGAGAACCAGTGTACATGTAGAAAATGCCAAAAATGTAAGCCACAACGTGGATAGCCTTCCCTCATGAAGTAGAGGGAAGACTGAAAGACAAGGTGGCTTGAGTTAATCTAGCTTATGAATATGTTAAGTGCTGACAGACGCATTTAATCAGCACTAGACCGTCCATGAGCACATTTATCTCTCACTGTTGGCACCTTTCCCTTTGTGTGTGTGCGCTCACACCGCATGTCACCATTTCATATCACCACAAATGTAGATTTTTGTGATTGATTCATTGTTTGGAAATAAACAAGAAGGCAGGCAAATATTAATTCGCCATGTGCCCCAATGATATAATAGGATGAAAAAAACTAATGATATATAGCATTGCTCAATATGGAATTGAAAGGAAGGTAAGCATGGAAATTGAAGGAAAGGCAAGCAAGGTGGAAAAGTAAACCTAAGGAAAGAAAACACTAGTGTTTTTCACTATTAACTTTCCTACTCATTCTGCATCACCTTATGCTGCATGCCTATGACAACAACTGGTGCACATGTTGACAAATGCCAAAAATACAAGCCACAACGTGGATGACCTTGCCTCATGAGGTAGATGAAAGACTGAAATACAAGAGTGGCTTAAGTTAATCTAGCTTATGATTATGTTAAGCGCTGATGGTCCATTTAGGCATTATCAGCACTAGACCGTGAATTCTGCACTGCCCTACCTTGCATGACTATATAAAAACATTAGTGCATACATTGAAAAATACCAAACATGTAAGCCACAACATGGACAGCCTTGCCTCATGAAGTATAGGGTTGACTGAAAGACAAGGTGGCTCAACTAATCTAGCTTATGATCATGTTAAGTGCTGACAAAGGCATTTAATCAGCACTAGACCATCAATAAGAACATCCATCTCACTCCTTGCCCCCTTTCCCTCAGTGTCCGAGTGTACTAAACCTTGAAGGTGTGATAGTCAAACATTACTACATGAAAATGTTAGTTCATAAACATGTAAGCCACGATGTGGATAACCTTGCCTCGTGAAGTAGAGGAAAGATTGAAAGACAAGGTGGCTCAAGTTAATCTAGCTTATGATTATGTTAAGTGCTGACAAAGGCATTTAATCAGCACTAGACCGTCAATAAGCACATCCATCTCTTCCATTATGCTAAAGAAGACACAATCTAAAGATAGGAGAAATCTTAAATTGAATAGCTCTTACCTTGTCCTGACCACCAACATCCCATACAGTAAAGCTGATGTTCTTGTATTCAACAGTCTCCACATTGAATCCTGACAAATATGATATTCAAGTTCCTACATTACAATAAATCTCACAGACAAACATTAAAATAAATTATTTATTTATTTATTTTGGTTGGGGTTTCATTCAAGATGGTGTAGAAAACATTATGCTGCATTGAAAATTTGAAATGCTGACAATATAATAAGACCTGTCACTTCAGTGCCTTCAGAAACCTAATTTCACCTCATCAATGAATAGTGCATAAAACCATATAACAAAATATCACAGATCTTTAATGAAGATAAACCATTACAGAAATAAAGATTCTTGTATGCTTGTAAGGTACCCTAGAACAAAAATAAACTAATAAAGACAAAAAGTTAAAACGAGAATATTGAAACCACATAGATCTCGGTTCAAAGAATTGCAAAAGACCTGAAATTTCATTCTTTCGATAACAGCCTCCAACAACGCACTTACCCTTTCTTTAAGAAGAAAGAAAGTATGACACATATATAACTTTATACAAGTGCGTGGAAAGATCAACAGCAAATATAATTCTATTTAAATATCATAATTCATATCATATTGAACAGCATACCAATGGTAGGAATAGTGGTCACAATTTCACCCAACTTGAGCTTGTACAAAATTGTGGTTTTACCAGCAGCATCAAGACCAACCATTAGAATACGCATTTCTTTTTTAGCAAACATGCGACTAAGAAGCTTGGTGAAGGACAGCCCCATCTTTGGATCTGATAGTTTCAGCAATGCTTAAGAAGTTAAGTAATGTTCAGTTTTTAGTAGTAAACTACTAAGGCAGGAAGTGTACGAATGAGAAGTCTACCAATGAACTGAACTGAATAAAAATTCACAATGGGAGAAAAAGAGAGACCTAGGCACGCGCAATCAAATTATGTTTGGTAAATTAAGTGGGAAAAGAAAAGCAAGGATTGTGGTTTGTCAATTATGTAAGAAACAAATGACAAAAAATAAAATAATATCATCAGGATTGTGATCTCTCACCTCTAGTAAAATTACTCTAAAAATAACATGAAATAAAAATAAATAAATTAACTTCATCAACTTATAGATAGCCCAAATCAACAACAAAAAATAATTGAGAATTCATGTTTTGTTTTCATCTAGGAAGCAAAAATGGGCCCAAATAAAAATTGAGCGTTATAAAACATTTATATTGTGTTTGGTTGGGACATTTAGGAAGGGATTTGAAAAAAGAAAATAAAAAGGTGTGTGAAATTAAGTGAAATATAGATATATTTTATTCACATTTCACCTTCATTTTCCATTTTCCTTTTCAAATCATTTCCCAAATCTCCCAACCAAACATAGCGTTAAGGCAGCTGAGTTTGGACTATGTGAAATTATGCAGTTTGTCATGGCCAATGCAGATGTAAAAGGCCTTAGATCAGATTTACTAAAAAAATTCATGATGCCCGCATATGAGGTAACCTACAATTTTCACAAAAGGCCATTGTCATTACAGACCTGAACCATAAGGTTTAGGACAACACAAGGATTGAATCAAAACAAATCTGGCAACAAAGCCAAATGAACATGTTAATCGCACGACAGTATTTCAGATCTGAACTTAAATCACATTGTGCAGCCCTTTACAAACCCATAAACCAAATCCAATAACATACTACTAAAGTTTGCAACGCGATACGAACGAAGATCCAATCTCATTTCCAATATTAAAACGAGAATACACGATGTAAATAGCGTTAAAATCCATCCAATCTACCTGTACTTTTTAATTAATAATGTTGAGGAGAAGTCAGTTTATACGTATCTATAGGTCTCCATAGCGTTAGAGTCCATCAATCTGGCAAAACTGCGTAAGTATACCAAACCAGTACAGAACGGATAAAAAATGAGGTATCAATCGATAAAATAATAACTCCAAAAATTCACACAAACAGATGGCAAAACGATAAACGAAGCTCAATATATTAAACTTACAGATCAGATCTATATGAGCAAAGCTAGGGTTTCCAAAAGAGGCGGAAGAGAGAGAGAAGTGAGGTACGGATGAGCTGTGCGATAGATAGAAGATGGTGAGAGAGTACGCAGATCTCGAAAGAGAGGCGTCGTCCACCACCAAGTGTACCAGCGGATTCGGAGGAGGCTCCCCTTATAGCGTCTCCCGATAAACGTACGTCTACAAACCGTTTCAAACAAATGAAGGTTGCTTGGGTGATTTAAATAATTGTAATTTTTTAAACTTTTTATAAAAAATTGTGTGAAAAAAATTAAAGTATAGTGATTTAAAAAGATAAAAAAATACTTAAATAAATAATTTTTTTATTTTTTTATAAAAAAAATATGTAAAAAAATAAAATAAATGATATAATAAAAATAAGGAAAAATTAGTCTAAGGTCCCTCTAGACATCATGAAAATATTTGATGTCCTTTATAATGTAAAATCATAATATCAGGGACCTTAAAAAAAATACCCCTAAAAATAAATAAATAAATAAATTATTTTTAGGGTTGTCAAACTTCGCTACAGTATTCCAAGTCAGACTTGTTGTGCCCGCACTTGGACCTAAAGCCACGTTTGATTTTGGGATTCAAGTAGTAAAAAACAAAACAAAACAATAAAATTGTAGCCTGTTTAGGGACTAGTTTTTATGATTTTTTTTTTAAATAGTTAATAAGATAATTTTTTTATTCTATAAATCAATTAATTATTTTTTTTCTTATAATTATCTATTTAATTAAAAAAAAATACAAATCATCTTAAACACATATTTTTTTTATCTCATAAAATAAATAAAATTAACTAAAATAGTCAAATTTACAAATGATGAGGCTATATTATTTATTTGCTTTGTATATAGTGGCCTCGTTTGGGAAGTGACTATTTTAGTAGGCTATTTGACTTTTTGGCTATTTTAGTGGCTATTTTAGTTTTTGTGTTTGGGAAGATGAGATGATTTTTTAGTTGAGTTATTATATTGAAAAGTGTGATGAAATGATGTTTAAATTTAAAATGACAGATTTATCCTTAACTTTTTATTTTTTAAAATTGATATAAAGGGGCAAAATGGTAATTTGCCCTTGTTGTCACACTGTCGGCTGTGACAGTGTAGGCACACAGCCTACACTGCCCGGGCAGCAGACTATATATATATATATATTTTTTTTTTGAAAAAGTTGGCAACAGTGCTACTTTTGGGCTATTTTCTAAAAATAGGCTACAATAGCCTCTCAAGAGTCTTCCCAAACAGCGCCAGTATACATATAGATTTTGGCGGGAAGGAAGCTGAGAGACTATTTTAGCCTCATTCAAACAAATAGTCAAAAAGTTGTACTGTAGCTGAATTTTTTTTTATTTTATTTTAATCAGAAACTGATGTGGACAGATTTGGCAAAAGTGTCATGACTGTGCAGGGCAGATTTAAAATTACGATTTTGCCATTTTAATTTTTGACTAACCACCAACTAGGAATGGCAACGGGGCGGGGCGGGGCCGGGGATCACACTCCCCGTCCCCGATCCCCGAAGGTACGAATTTCCCCGTCCCCGGCCCCGATCCCCGACGGGGAGTCTCTCATCGCCCCCACCCCCGCCCCCTAACGGGGATCGGGTTTCCCCGACCCCGCAAATTCCCCGAAAAAAAAAAAAAAAAAAACAACACATTCAATAACAGATCTCTTCATCATATATCAACATATATATCAACGACAACAAGAATTAGAGAGAGATCTGACCTATATTCAACATATATATCGCTATATTCAACAGATCTAAGTCCAAATACATATTCAACACTAGATTTAACATATATACAACAGATCGAAACAGATCTGAGCTCAAAAAAAAAATAAAAAAAATTAACACATTCAGAGAGAGAGACGACTGACTTGAATTTTCTCTGGACCAATTTTCTCTGGATCAATTTTCTCTGGATTGATGTTGAGGGACCTTAGACATCATGAAAATATTTGATGTCCTTTATAATGTAAAATCATAATATCAGGGACCTTAAAAAAAATACCCCTAAAAATAAATAAATAAATAAATTATTTTTAGGGTTGTCAAACTTCGCTACAGTATTCCAAGTCAGACTTGTTGTGCCCGCACTTGGACCTAAAGCCACGTTTGATTTTGGGATTCAAGTAGTAAAAAACAAAACAGAACAATAAAATTGTAGCCTGTTTAGGGACTAGTTTTTATGATTTTTTTTTTTAAATAGTTAATAAGATAAATTTTCTATTCTATAAATCAATTAATTACTTTTTCTCTTATAATTATCTATTTAATTACAAAAAAAAAATTACAAATCATCTTAAACACACATTTTTTTTATCACATAAAATAAATAAAATTGACTAAAATAGTCAAATTTACAAATGATGAGGCTATATTATTTATTTGCTTTGTATATAGTATACATATAGATTTTGGTGGGAAGGAGGCTGAGAGGCTATTTTAGCCTCATTCAAACAAATAGTCAAAAAGTTGTACTGTAGCTGAATTTTTTTTTATTTTATTTTATTCAGAAACTGATGTGGACAGATTTGGCCGAAGTGTCATGACTGTGCAGGGCAGATTTAAAATTACGATTTTGCCCTTTTAATTTTTGACTAACCACCAACTTAGCATTCCCACACATAGAGGCAATTTAGTCATTTCATATCTCAACAAATCAATCATCACGTTAGACAGAAGTGTCATCACGTCATGCATAATTTTTTGGAAATAATTTAATTATTTTTTATCTCAACATCATTTTAAACACATTTTTTAATACAACGATCAAATGAAAAATTTAATCCATATTTCCAAACACAAAGACTAAAATAGCTGTTGACACCATAAATCTGTAATTTTTATTATTACTTATTATTTATATAATTGCAGGACATGTGGCATCCTCCTATTCATTTGAAGATTATGAGAAGTTATGAAATGTGAAAAGATGATGGAGAATGAAGTGGAGAACATGGAGCATTAACTGGAGGTTAAAGGAAGTTATGAAGACATGGAGGAATATGTGGCATTGTGGGTAGAGATGGCAATTTAAAACCAGCCCGATGAGGAATCGACCCCCCGATCCCGAATTGAGCGGGTTTTTCCTGAAAAATACCCCTGACGGGACGAAGATGGTGATTAAAAATCAATCCCCGAACATATTCGGGCCAGGGACAGAGATAAGTGTTCCAGTCCCGTACCCGGCCCGGCCCCTTCCCCGATCCCCGGCCCGGTTTTATCCTGATATTAAATTACAATTTTACCCTTATATACATATATATATATAAACCAGGTCAGTCTCTCTCAGCTCTCATTTCTCTCTACCCGTCTCCGTCTCTCATTTCTCTCTACCTCACTGACTTCTCTCTCTCTCTCTCAGATCCACCACCACCGCCGAGCCTCGCACCACCACCACCGACCACCGCCGAGCCCTGCACCACCACCGCCGAGCCTCGCACCACCACATCGCAACTCTCATCCACTCCATCACCACCGACCACCGCCGAGCCTTGCACCACCACCGCCGAGCCTCGCACCACCACATCGCAACTCTCATCCACTCCCTCTCTCTCGACGAGCCTCGACCACCACAGATGAGATCTTTTTTTCTTTTTTTTTTTTCAGATCTGTTTCAGATTTGTCTCAGATCTGATTCACAATTTTTTTTTTTAGATCTGTTTCAGATCTGTCTCAGATGAGTTGTATTTTCTGATGATGTTGTTGATGTTGTTGTATTTTCTGATGTTGTTGATGTTGTATTTTCGGATGATGTTGTTGTATTTTCGGATGTTGTTTCAAATCTGTTTCAGACCATTAATAATTTTGTTTCAGATCTGTTTTTAGATGATGTTGTTGCTGTTGTTGTTGATGAGTTGTATTTTCTGAATTTTTTTATTTTTTTTTTTAGCCAGGGAATGCTCGGGGTCGGGGAAACCCGATCCCCATTGGGGGCGGGGGTAGGGGCAGTGATAGGTTCCCCATCGGGGATCGGGGCCGGGGGAAATTCTACCGACGTAGATCGGGGATGGGGAGTGCGATCCCCGCCCCGTTGCCATTCCGAATTGTGGGAATGAAGATGGAAAAGTGGGTAGTTTACGTGATTATTGGGTAGATATTGCTGGAAGTTTTTTCCTACAAACATTTGTCTATAAATAGCCATTCATGGCTACATTGTAAAAGGACCCAGAATTCAAATCAAAGACAATTGATTTCAATATTTCTTGTCATTTTCCTTATATTAGGAGTAGTTTAACATAAATTTATACTTCGAAGTATTTATTTTCAGCACTTTCTTTTCAAATCATTTTATGCACTTCATTTTCGAAGTATAGGAGTAGAGGTAAGTAATGATTACTTTGATTGTTCACTCAATCGTCTTTCTCCGTCTCCCCCATTCTTCTTTTAATTTTTCTTTTCTCTACACTTGGCAATTTTGAAGTCCTCTTTGTTGAGGCAAAAGAACCGTCAACGCAATCGCTTGATAATTGGCTTGAATTTAATCTATAAGGATTTTTCAATCCTTGCTGGCACGCTCGCATTTATGATATTTTTCTTCATATGAAAAATAAGCCAACAATTTTTGGCATGCCCAGTAGATTACCAAGTGTAAGAAATGACAAACGATTTGGATTTCGCCATTCGAACTTGTCAATATGAAATTTATTGGCGTAAATAAGAAGTTTTGGATCTTCAAGAAGATATCTATTTTCTTGATGAAATAAACTTTCATCCCTTACATTATTATTTGGTGGAAGAAAAAAGACACCATTTAATTGGAGAAATTCATCAACTTGATATGAAAATTCGCCAATGGAACGATGAGTTATCAACTCTCACTACCAAGTCTTTAACTGAGGCTTTAATGGCCGGAATTGGTGAATTTTTTTAAAATTTTTCCATGGTTAAAAATAGCAAAAGCAAAGAGTTGATTTCATCAATGGCTCGGTGGGTTCAAGAGTCCCGTTTTTAAAGAGCCAAATTATGAAATTAACATAACGAAAGAGCATGTTCTTGAATCAAATTTGGCTAAGAATGATGTTCCATGCATGGCTCGGGGGGTCTCAAAACCAATTTTTAGAGAGTCAAGTCATGAAAATAACATATCTATGGGCGATTTTCATAAGCCATTAATGGCTTACATGGAAAAACAACCCACTTTGCCAAATAATTATGAAAATCAATTCGACAAAAGTCAT